CGCCACCTGTGGCCGAACCATTTTCCAACCGCTAAGACGGGTGGTACGAATGCGTGAACAATTATTGCTGTCCACCGGTTGTGATTTTGGTCTCCAAATGCGAGGATGATGACGTGGGCCGGAGTCAGCGATAACCTTGCGTTCCTCTCTGTCGCATGCCTCACCAACGATTAGTCGAATATTGTACTGCTCTCTATGTATAACTGTAGTGGCTGATCAACCGCTGAAAGCCCAAGGCCCAAGCTGGTGTCCGGCCACCTACGGCAATCCAGAACGGCCAGTCCATTGCAGGAATTGTTTGAGTATACCCGAACTCCAGACATTCAGATGCCTATTAAAGCTAGTCAGCTTCAAAAACCTATAATTCACTCCGTCCTTAAAGAATACAAACCGTTCACTACCAGAGTCTGCATTATTATCTTCCTAATCGAGAGCTGCACAAATTAGAAGTCAACACAAATAAAGAACCATACTGTCATACGCCTCCGATGAAGCTACATTTGTAAAATGTAACAAGAAATTGCCATTATCTTAGATATTTCTCTTGATGACACAGCAATATAAATAAATTTATGACACGGAAAATTATAGGTGAAGGGTCTCAGAAGCGACAGTCTGCACGAGTATCAGAAGCAATTATTCAGGAGCTACTGTTTTGAGAACAGGCGATCCCTGAGGAACTACAAGGCTAATGCGAAAGTACTCTTAGTTTAGATATTTAATTGGAGATCACGGTAATACGGATGGATATATGGGACGAACAATGATACGTGACAGTTCTCAGCACCGGAGTCTTGCACGATCATCAGAAGCGGCCAAGGTGCATTCAGTTTCTGCGTCTCCTTCTGGGGTGAGGGTGTGAGGGGACTCCGCGTCCGCAGTTTGCTCGGGTGGGTAAAAGGGCATAGCACAATTCACACTACTTCGGTCCTCGTCACCGAGTTGTTTATCTGGATCGATGTATGCATATATATGCGAGGAGTTTCGACCAGAGTTTGGATGGTCATCACCGATCGACATTGTCATTTGTTTTTCCTTGTCTTGAGTAGAGTAAATAAATCCATGTTGGAAAAGCCTGTGGACGAAAAGAACATATAGTTAAAATGAGAGCAAAGCAACGCTCGACGAGCCTTAGTTGAGGTTGCAGGCCTGTCTACTCAATAGGTCTATATTCAAATTGAAGCAGCTCTTATCGGGCTTGTGAGTAGTGCATGAGAAAGGGAAGAGTGTGACAGGGAATAAGGTCAGTCAGACTTGAACCTATAAAATGCATACCTTTCTGCATGACATTCACATAGTCTGACATTGATATAAGGCGTTGAAATTCATGGATAGGTATATCGTTAACAGATGGGATAACGCAGTCCTTTCCCAACGGACGGTCAGGCTACGGTATATTCTTACCTCGGCTTTTTGGCACATCTCTTTGATGATAGATAAGAGTACTCTTTTGAATGCAATGCCTTTTTACACAGAGATCAGCTCGTACGCGGCACGCATAGGAGTGGGTCTAATCAGGGTAGTCATTGTGCAATACCCATATCAAGTCTTCTTACATTTGTACTACCTTGTCAAAGTGTATATGCGAAGAGAGAGCCTCCCGCATTGGAAATCTTTCACAATTAACAAAGTCACATGTAAGTAGTGGTTGTGTCTATAGGATAGTGATAGATCTCGCCTATTGAGTAGGAGGAAATATCGGGTGTTGATTACCGCGGAAAAAAGTGTAGGAGTAACCTGGTGTACCTCAAAATCGAGAAGACCACTGGATTTTCTCGCCCAACCATGGAGCGAAATAACTAGATCAAGGCCCAGGGTCAAGTCATTAGTGCTACAGATGATACCTAAAGGAACACCAAGAGCTTATCAGGACTCTAAAGAATGTGGTAGGACCAATTCTCGCAAAGCTAAACGCCTGCCACCTTAAGTGGTTTAGCATTTTTTCTTTAACGACAGCATAGCTCGATTTGATGGGATTGATTTGTTACTGAAA